TAATGTTTTTTTTTTTTTATCTTCAAAGGTTGTACTAATCCATTCATATAATGCAGGTACTTGCTGTTTTGGCTTGTCGTTCTGTCTGCAAAGTTCTCATTCGCGTACTTTCTTCAGGTTAGTTCTTCTAGCAGGAAGGATAATTGTGATTTGTTGATAGTTGTACTGAAGATTGTGGTTAAGCGTGAAATATATTTATGTTACATGCATATAATACTACTTATGTACCAAAAGTATTCCTTCTGTGTGTTAATCAAGAGTTTTCCGTTGTATTCAGTATAAATTCTAGTCAATTTATACAGCGAGCTCTTAGAGTTGGAAGTAAATTTATGAACGCAGGCTTACAATTAATTTTATATAGAAAGAAAAATATATATGACAATTGACCGATATGTCTCTTGATTGCGATCTCTTGTAGTCACATCCTGAAGTAATTACTCGAGAAAGATCACAAAGATGCTTTGTTTGGCAGTTAAAGTGCGACTTGAATTACTCATTTTTCTCTTTCTGATGAATTTGCAGATTGAGCCGCTTGTTGGTCCAACAAGGATTATAGTGAAACAAAATAACATTCCGTATTCCTGGCATGATTTTGTGTCGAGTAGTAAGTATTGGATTTGTAGATACTTTTTTGTTGCTAGAAGTTTTTTTGTGTATTATGTTATGTTACTTCTTTCTGGAATCGTACACCTATGCTTTTGGTTGCAGTACATGATATCAAAGCTGAACTCTAAATTAGCTCTAAATCGTCTTCCTGTAAAATTCTAATTTTTTAATATTTGTTTATCTGGATGCAGAAAACTATAATGCTCTGACTGTTGCCAGTTTATGGGCTCCTGTGGTCGCTGTAAGTTCAATGGTCTTTACTTGAGGGTTGGCACTTGTGTTGTTCTAGATTTTGTTGGCAGCACTCACTTAATCAAGAAGTTGTCTCTAGAGAGTCACTTTTACTTTGGAAGGATGTTGTTGAAAACTATTTTACCAATCTTGGTGAAGTTTGTTCTGATTAGGATGAATGTTGCCTCTGGGGGTTCACAGTTAAGTTTTCCTTAATTGTATTGTAACTTTTTACTTTTCTTTCATATAACACAGATATACCTATTAGACATCCATATATTCTACACCATTATCTCTGCTTTTTTGGGGTTCTTGCTTGGTGCGCGAGATCGTTTGGGAGAGGTAAGTGTGGTTTCAAATGTCAAAATTCAGATATTTAAAACACTGTTATTACCCTGTTTGTAAGAGGAAGGTCCTTACGTTTCTTTTCCTTTCCTTGCAATTTTCACAGATAAGATCTTTAGATGCTATTCACAAACTCTTTGAGGAATTTCCAGGGGCCTTTATGAAGGCTCTTCATGTCCCTCTTACCAATCGGTTAGGTTCCTTTCCATCTGTCGTCTAAGAACTTCATTTTTCCTGCATATCTCCCTTTTATCTTTGTTAAATACTAACATTTTCTCATTTTCATTGCCTTCCGCCGATAATTCAAAATCTTGTGCAGGACTTCTGATCCTTCTTATCAGGTAGTGAACCTTTTTTCCTCTTCTTGGTTTTGTAGCTGTTGGCCTGTTTTACATTTATGAAGCATTATTTTCCCAAATGAATTTATGTTAAAGTCTGTTCCGCCGATTCAAGGTGACTGGCATGTTAGTTTTCTTCTCATGCGTGTTGTTCATATTTACATGTGATTATCGATTCGAAGGCTGTGGATAAGAACAAATTAGATGCAGCACACTTTGCTCCATTTTGGAACCAAATAATAAAAAGTCTACGAGAGGAAGACTACATCACTGATTTGTAAGTGCTTTATGCTCTACAATAACTATGCCGTGTGCCTAATGCTCTTAACTTCTGCTTTTTAATGGTTTCGGTTTTACCAATTTTTTTTCATTTGGAACCATTTTCTAGTGAGATGGAACTGCTCCTGATGCCCAAGAATTCTAGTAGGCTCCAATTGGTTCAGTGGCCACTTTTTCTTCTTTCCAGCAAGGTGAGTTTGTTACTTTTACCTGCTTCTGTATATAAATTCAACGTTTTATTGTGGCTATCTGGCTAGCCTCATTGGTTTTCACGAAAATAGCATATGAGGTCACTTCTTAGTGAAAAATATTTTCTTGTAAACTGTAGATATTATTGGCCAAAGAGATTGCTGCTGAGAGTAATTCACAAGAGGAGATTCTGGAGAGGATTGCAAGGGATGAGTATATGAAGTATGCTGTTGAGGAAGTCTATCACACCCTTAAATTTGTCCTTACAGAAACTCTGGAAGCCGAAGGGAGGATGTGGTAAATGGATTTTTTTGCCCCTAAAATGACTTGCACAGATTTTTACTGGATAAAAGAATGATATTTATTGTGAATTTCGTAGGGTGGAAAGAATTTACGAAGACATTCAGGCCAGCATAAAGGAGAGAAATATACATCATGATTTTCAGTTGAACAAACTCTCCCTTGTTATCACGAGAGTCACTGCGCTCTTGGGAATCCTGGTATTCTCATTGCCCCTGTCAGAAATTACTTTATTGAACCGGCTCTAAATTATTATAATACTATTAATCTTCATTATCTTAAAGTTGGATGATTGTGAATTATAGTCGTCCTTACCTATTACTGGAGAAGAGTGTCATAGTTTCCTGATTGTTATCAATTGGACGAAGTTTTTTTTCTTTCTATTTTTCCCTTGGATATATTTGATTTTAAATTGTGCTCAACTCCTTTGACAGAAAGAAAATGAAACACCGGAGCACGCAAAAGGGGCCATCAAAGCACTCCAGGATCTATACGATGTTATGCGGCTTGACATATTAACTTTTAATATGAGGTACATACAAAGTTGATGATTTGGCTGTGTTTTATGCAACAACTTCTTTTCTTTGTTTGATATCTTTCCAAAACATATGTTGCTCTATGTAGAGGTCACTATGAAACGTGGAACATGCTAACTCAAGCCTGGAATGAAGGTCGGCTTTTTACAAAGTTGAAATGGCCTAAAGATCCTGAGATGGTATAATGATGATTCTTGTTCTCAAGGCTATAAGTGTACTCGTTTATTTTCTGTCAGTCTGATAATTCTCTAAAATTTGCAGAAAGCTCTCGTCAAAAGATTGTACTCTCTATTTACCATCAAAGACTCTGCAGCGCATGTTCCTAGAAATCTCGAGGCCAGACGCAGGCTGCAATTCTTCACTAATTCTCTTTTCATGGATGTGCCACCACCAAAGTCTGTCCGCAAGATGTTATCCTTCAGGTGTTTCTTACTTTATGCTTCTTTCTCCATACTTTCGTCATCTTATTCAAACAATCTGTTCGGAAGCTTATTATCTTCTTTCGGACTTTGTTTTCAGTGTCTTCACTCCATATTATTCTGAGGTTGTGCTATACAGCATGGCTGAACTCACTAAGAGAAATGAGGATGGAATATCAATCTTGTTTTACCTTCAGAAAATTTATCCAGGTATATTGGCCTTGTGAGTTCCTCAAAAATATTAGTGACTCTTGCCTTGTTGTATTTGTTTCATACTAATAAACTGTAGAGTTGCTTCTGCTATGCTTTCTGTGCTTAAGTGTGTTCCATTATGGATAGGTGCCGGAAATGTTTCTCATCGATATTTAATATTCTGCAGATGAGTGGAGAAATTTTCTAGCACGTATAGGACAGGATGAAAATGCGTTAGAAGGCGATCTAAATAATGAGAGAGACATACTTGAACTTCGATTTTGGGCTTCTTACCGTGGACAAACGTTAGCTAGAACAGGTAAAGCAAGCGAATCACTCCACCCTTTTTTCTTGACGTTACACATTATTCACTTCACGATCTCACATTGCAAGTTGCCTTTGAATACCTGCAGTTCGGGGGATGATGTATTATAGGAAAGCTCTCATGCTTCAGTCTTATCTGGAAAGAAATGCTGGAGGAGGTAAGAGGCTAAGAGCTTTATATAGATATATTTGTAAGCCAAGCTTTTTCTTATAGCTATCTGACTATTACAGACATGGAGTCCGGACTTTCTGGTAATTACACAATGGATGCTGAAGGATTTGAGTTATCTCCTGAAGCAAGGGGCCAAGCAGATTTAAAGTTTACATACGTTGTCACATGCCAAATATATGGAAGACAGAAAGAAGATCAAAAACCTGAAGCTGTTGACATTGCTTTGCTAATGCAAAGGTAAGAAGACACCTTTCTGAGTTTCTAATGCTTCTGCTATCATTCTGTTACAAATATTGTATTACCAAGCTAATCTCATTCATTCTATGGTCAGAAATGAAGCCCTTCGCATTGCTTATATCGATATTGTTGATACTCCGAAAGAGGGTAAATCTCACACAGAGTATTATTCAAAGCTTGTGAAGGCCGACATCAGTGGAAAGGATAAGGTAAACTGTGTTTATTTTTCTTGTTAACTTAATGTTTGAAACACTTCGACATGCTTTAAGTGATTGGTAAAGTGTGATTGCGCATTTTTGCCACCTTTTCCTTTTTGATCTTATTGTTTTGTTATATGGATTGGCCACTTTTTTTCTGGCTATGCAGGAAATTTACTCCATAAAGTTGCCTGGGGACCCGAAACTTGGTGAAGGCAAACCTGAGAATCAAAACCATGCCATTGTGTTTACACGCGGAAATGCAATCCAAACTATTGATATGAATCAGGTTAGTGTGCAATTATCTTATCTTCTCTGCATCTTTTTGTTTTAAGTGCTTTCTTTTGAGATCTTGTGAGGGTTTGTTATTGCTAAGTTTCTCCGGAAATTCAGTTTAGTAAATTAGGTATATACGGGCTTTGTAAAGAGTATTAAGAATAACAGTTTCAAAGTGTACACGTTTAAAAATTAAAAAAAAAAAATAGGAGCTGAGAACAACATTGCTTCATAGCTCATGTACATATCTATAATCTAGCTGAATCATCTGACTGTAAAAGATCCAGCTTAAACTTATCATATGTTGCTGTAGTTTAACTTGGTGAAACGCGCATTATCCAAACCTTGTCCATGTAGATTGGATGTTTATGAAAACCGAAGTAGTCACTATGTGAGTTTTCACTTGAGCAAAATTTAAGCTTGTGCCATAATTAAATTTTACAAAACATCACTTTCCTTAGACCCAAGTGAAAATTTTGCCAAATGTAATCAGACGCATAATTTTGTCGAAGTTTATCCATTCTGGAGTTCACTAACAATGAGTGGTTCTTAACCTTGTAGTATTTAAGTTTGAAGTTCAAAATTAAACACAGAAATTTAGAGTAGAAATACTGCATTTTCTTTCAATAACAGAGAATCATTCTTAAATGAAAAGCACATATTGATATCATTTTGAGATTGGAGTTGGACATCTCATCACATGTAAATGTACCGGAATCTTCTATCATTTGTGCATGCCTGCTTTACATTCTTTACGTTTCTATAGAGCTAAATGCATCTCCAACCTTTAGCATCATGTTATTTATATATTTTTGTTACTTGTTAGGATAATTATTTTGAAGAAGCCTTGAAGATGAGAAATCTTTTGGAGGAATTTGATCGGGACCATGGAATTCGACCTCCCACCATTCTTGGAGTTAGGGAACATGTATTTACTGGAAGGTGGGAACCAGACATTTATAAATCTGTTTTCTTATTTTTACATATATCGCTTACGTAATTGTTTGCGACACAATATGCAGTGTCTCGTCCTTGGCCTCTTTCATGTCCAATCAAGAAACCAGCTTTGTAACTCTTGGTCAACGAGTATTGGCGAAACCATTAAAGTAAGCTACTACAATAAGTTTTATTTTCCCTGAACAACTTGAATAATTTGGAATCCTGATTCTATCATTTCCGAATTCTAGGATCCGCATGCATTATGGTCATCCAGATGTCTTTGACAGAGTTTTCCATATTACACGTGGTGGTATCAGCAAGGCCTCTCGGATTATCAATATTAGTGAAGATATTTTTGCTGGTAAAATCCGATTTGTTAATTGATAGTTACCTTCAAATGTGTTCCGTGTTGCCAGACAATTAAAGCATACTACTATGCTAAGCCATCGTATATTCAATTTCTTCCACACTTGATTAATGTTGATCCTATAATGCTATGATTTTCAGGTTTTAACACAACTCTACGTCAAGGGAATGTTACTCATCATGAGTATATTCAGGTCCGTACTTTTCAAAACTTAACAATTAAAAGGATAAAAAATGTATATGCACTAATTTTATTTACAGGTTGGCAAAGGGCGAGATGTGGGGCTCAATCAAATAGCTCTATTTGAAGGGAAGGTTGCTGGTGGGAATGGTGAACAGGTTCTTAGTCGGGATGTATACAGACTTGGCCAGCTCCTTGATTTCTTTCGAATGATGTCATTCTACTTTACAACTGTTGGGTTCTACTTCTGTACGATGGTATGTGGACCCTCAAATGAGTCATAGTGATTTTATTCGCGTCTCACCATGGTTTCTCATTTTTCCTCCATATCAATACTTAGCTGTCAAGTTTATAAAAGAAGTTTACGACAAGTCTTGAAATTCTATTGGTCACTTTCTTCAAGTTTTTCTAAGTATGGTTTCTAGGACTAGTGCTGATATTTTGACATTTTCATGGCCTCTTGCAGCTGACGGTGCTTACAGTGTATATTTTCTTATATGGGAGGGCATATCTGGTAAGCATAGTTACCTATGTTGGTTATGACGCATGTGCTATCTTCATGACTGACTATTGACCGATTTATTCTTGCATATTACCTATGATACTTGGTGTTTCATATTTTATAGGCACTTTCTGGAGTTGGAGCTACTATTCGAGAAAGAGCTATTCTTCTGGACGATACTGCACTTAGTGCCGCCCTGAATGCTCAGTTTCTGTTGCAAATTGGTGTCTTCACTGCTGTGCCAATGGTTTTGGGCTTTATTTTGGAACAGGGTTTTCTCCAGGTACTGGTTTTCCACCATTTTTGTCATATCATAATGTTATGCAATATCTTCTTAAGGATCTTCTTTAACCGTCTTTTATTGTGTAGGCCATTGTCAGTTTCGTAACAATGCAATTTCAGCTATGTACTGTCTTCTTCACATTTTCCCTTGGCACAAGAACCCATTATTTTGGACGGACAATTCTCCATGGTGGTGCAAGGGTATATTCTTATCCTTGGGAACTTAAACCGTTCTATATTGTCTGGAATCTGATAAACAATGTCTTTCAACAGTACCAAGCCACTGGAAGAGGCTTTGTCGTCAAGCATATCAAATTCTCTGAAAACTACCGGCTTTATTCCAGAAGTCATTTTGTCAAAGCGTAATCTCCTTATACTCTTTGTTTCCTATGTACATGCATTTCTTTCGTATACTTGTTTAGCCATAGTTAAGGATGGAATATTCACTGATATGCTTTACATGTATTTATTCCATCTCTAGGATGGAGGTTATTCTCTTATTGGTTGTCTACCTTGCGTATGGCAATGATGAGGCTGGTGCAGTTTCCTACATTCTTCTGACCGTTAGCAGCTGGTTTCTGGCTGCTTCTTGGCTTTTTGCTCCCTACCTGTTCAACCCTGCCGGATTTGAGTGGCAAAAGTGAGTAGTGCTATCTTATTTTGTATCGTGTTAAGTAACATGTTTTCTCACTGAGCAAGATTTGTTTTCTCCTTTCAGAGTCGTGGAAGACTTCAAAGAATGGACAAACTGGCTCTTTTACAGAGGTGGAATTGGTGTGAAAGGAGCTGAAAGCTGGGAAGCATGGTGGGAAGAAGAACTGGTAAGAACTCCATTTATCCAAACTCTGCTGTTTGATTGCCTATGGTGCTTTGCTTCTTTGTTATACTGCCTTCTCGTCAGCCACAATCCAAAGTTTTCAAATAGGTCTTATGAATTTTTCACCTTATCTAACTATATGTGTGCTTCCAACAGTCTCACATCCGGACCTTGAGCGGGAGGATAATGGAGACTGTTTTAAGTCTACGGTTCTTCATCTTCCAGTATGGAATTGTCTACAAACTGGACCTACAAGGATCAGACACATCACTTGCGGTAACAGCATTTCCCTTCGTTTACTGCTCCTATATGATCTTTTGCTTTGAACACTGCCTAATAATAGCATTTACACATGTGCAGATTTATGGTTGGTCCTGGGCTGCATTGGCGATAATTATAGTTCTCTTCAAGGTTGGTTAATCTTTTATCACAGCTTCATTTTCTTAAAACTTTGTCTTCTGACTAAATTGCATTACATGATCTGAGATATCTCCAATGTTTTCTTTGAAATAGGTCTTTACCTTCAGCCAGAAGATATCTGTCAACTTCCAGCTTGTGCTGAGGTTTATACAAGGCCTGGTCTTGTTGGTGGCTCTAGCTGGGATAGTCGTAGCAGTTGTACTCACAAATCTGTCAGTGGTGGACATATTCGCTTGCGTACTGGCGTTTATACCGACAGGATGGGGAATCCTCTCTGTAAGTTTTGAGCTCTTTCTCACCTCAGATACCTTCTTCTCTCTCTAATCTCTGCAGAGTCCAATCTAACGAAGTAATCCTCTCTTGTTGTAGATTGCTTGTGCTTGGAAGCCGATCGTGAAGCGAATCGGAATGTGGAAATCGATCCGTTCCCTAGCGAGACTGTATGATGCAGGAATGGGAATGCTCATATTCCTTCCCGTTGCGCTCTGCTCCTGGTTCCCTTTCGTCTCCACTTTCCAGACACGTATGATGTTTAACCAGGCGTTTAGTCGTGGTCTGGAGATCTCTCTCATCCTCGCAGGAAACAATCCCAACTCTGGACTTTGAAATTTCCATTAGCTTATCTATGCGTTGTTTTAACTTGTGTGTCTGTTTCACTAGTGTTATGAATTCTGAGTGTAGTTGTAGAAAATGATGAGAGCCTATATGTAATTTTTAGGCAATTTTTAGACTTCTGTAATATTATTTATTTGTAGATTCAGATACATTGCAAGTAAGTCAGATTAAATGTTCTTTTTCTTTCTTCTCACAACGTAGCTGTGTTCCAACATTTGGGCAATAGAGTGTCTGACCGATATTGCTAAAACTAGTGAATCATTTGGATGTGTTGGTATCTTTTTTCTTAGGGATACAATTGATCTTATTGCATTGAGGGTGTTCGATTGAAATTTTTAGATTTGTCACAAAAGATCTGTTGTATAAAGTAGTTTGGGTGCCATCAAACAAAAATGAAATAAATAAACTTGGCCCAAATTGAAGCCCATTGAACCTAAAGCAGAAGAAGGCCCATTTAAATGGAAATAATCTCTGGCGAAGGCAGAAGGTTCTCGTCGGCAGGTCAGAAACTCTACAAAGCTCAAAGGTACCGTTGGAAGAAGGTCGGAGAAAATTCAGCTGAACTCCAGAATCTCTTATCAGAGAGTGATGGTGGGAGAAGAAGGTCGGAGAAAGATGATCAGACTTTTTTGTCCCTCAGCATCGAAGATTATCGACTGGGTTGCTTGGAACGATCAGAAACTGGACTTTAAAGCCATAGCCGCAGCGTTTGAGCTCGAACCGTCGACGGTGAAGCTCAATGGTCACTTCATAAGCAGAGGTATTGATCTACTCGCCACTTGCGTGACGTGGCAGTCTCTGCTCGCTTTCTTCTCAGCTAGAGGCTTCTCAACTGGGGAAGACGAGTCCGGTGCTCTCTTCGTCGACGGCAAGCTCTGTAAAGTCGGTACCAAAAGTGAGTTTCTCTAATTTGTTTCCTTCCTGTTTAGCTTCCCGATTTTATTATAGGCAAATTCAAGAAATTTTGAATTTACCCTTTTCTAGGAGCACACTCTGATCCTCAAGAGGATATAACCTGCAACGATCTTGGTCTAATCAGAAACAAAAAGTTGAAAGACAAGTGTTCAGGTATGGGAATTTTTTATCTCATACCAAGTAGTTTTGAATATTTGTCTGCTTCTGAGTTTAATCTGAGTTTTCATTCTCATCAGTTGAGGAACCTCTTGTCTCTGGAGGCAACAAGAGAAAGCTATTGTCTGAAGATAGGCACTCTCTCAAGAAACTTAAACTCAGCATGGGTGATAGCTGTGGTAAATATGTTGCAGGAAGACAAGGTGGAAACAGCAAAACGCCATTGAAATGCAGTTTCATTAGTGATGGTTTGAAGAGGACAAGAGAAGATGAGATGATTGTTACTTCAGCTTGTAAGAGGACGAGATGAGAGAGTGCCAATGTAGATATAGAGAAGTCTATAACAGTTTTTGTCTCTAAAAGTATTTGACTAAAAATCGAAATGCAAAATTTCAACTCTTAATTGCAAATCTTAGGGTCCAAAATTACCTTGTTGATACATATGGTACAGCTGATGTCTCCTAAAACTGGACTAGAAATCATTTTTTCCCATTTGGAATTACAGTTTTCGTGTAACCAATGATTACGTTTACATTGTTTCCTTTCATTTTTTGTGTCAGTCGGATGTGACTCATTACTTTCTCTCTCTTTTTGTTGGAAAGTTGTGTTGCTATCATTTTAGTGTTTTTGAGATCAGTTTAATTTTAGAGTTTGACGATGAGAAAATAAGTCTTATGAGTGATGATGGTCTCTGTAATTGTTTTTGTCTTTAAAGTATCCATCTGACATGCAAAAACCAAACTCTCTTTAACTGCAAATCTTACAGGGTCTTGTTGATACATATTGTACAACTGTTGTCTCTTAACAGATTTAAGCCTACTTGTCCGTGGAAAAATATTGCCATGCGGCAGCAGCTCCTGCAACTAATATGATTTTAAAGACAAGTTTACTAGAAAAGACTGAAGATCGAGCTTCAGGCGACTCGTTCGTTGTTGCTGGTGCTTCAATTGGTCTCCCTCGAATCTTGGCTATGAGTCTAGACAACAACTGCTTAAGCCCACCTTTTTTCTTTCCTGCTGGAGAAAACAGAGAAGTCAAGATTAGTTTTGTCATCCCAAGGAAGCCTCAAATGATCCTCAGCATGATTTCGTGACTAACCTTGGCTTTTGAGAAACCTTTCTTCTTCACCTACTCGTCTACGGAGAACATTGAGCAATGATCCGAAGTACAATGCGAAGACGGTGCATGTGATCGTGATTACGTTGTAAGGCATGCTAAAATCAGGGGTTGTCAAAGGTACAAGCAGTACTTCTGTGTACGAGCGCACTAGAGATTTTTCCTGTAACAAAACCAGAGGACGACTGATGTTATTGTACATGAACTTTGAATTAGGGGACAATAAGGAAAAACTTTTAAGTGTTATCTCGGTTCTCTACCTTAAGTTTTGATAATATAGGCGATTTACTGACTTCTTCTTTAAAATCTAAACTCGCATGATGATCGGGAAAGCTTATCAAAGCCGATGGAATGTCGAATCCTTGATTAGCATCAGGAGGATATTCATCTATATGCAGAAAACCCTGTTGAGCAAATTTTTAGAAACAAAAATTAGTAAACACAACAGTTTTCTGACACTCAATATCAATTAATTTGACGATCAGATTATGATATTGATGGGTGAAGAAAAGTACACAAGGATCACCTTGTCATATTCTATGGACATGGCTACAGATTTCACTTCACACGGTAGTTCCAACATCATCTCCATCATGCCAGATGACATCTTATCCGTAGATGGTGAGACATCGATCTTCTTCACGACCTCATTCCCTGTCTTCTGCTGTTTGTCCACAAAGATTTGTAGAGTATGGTAATAAACCTTAACATACCATGGGAAAATCTGGAAGATGTTAACTTTTACAGTACAACGGCCATCAGTAAAATCTCTTCCCGATAACTTCTCCTGAGATTCTGTCGCTTTTAACAAGATGGCTATTGCACCCCTCTCGTTCCCACTCCCCATCAGAAACCGACTCGCGTGTAACGGAGCTTGTTGACTTGCCCATTTTGAAGGAAGCTTCCAAGTAAGGCCAAGATCAAATGGCTCGCTGTCACTATATTTTTCAATATCGTAGACGAAAAGAAAGCTGCTGGTTTCGGGAAGAATCCTCTCTGGCTTTATGGACAATTCGAATTCTGCGTTCTTCCATGCTTCTCTCTCTGGATCCAGCTTCTTGAGTTCATGACCAGAAAGACCCTCCAATTGAACATACACATTACTCGACTTCGCAAGAACACATCTCCCAACGACTTTCCTCCCAAAGAGGGAGCTGAGGAACCAACTCGGCTGCATATCTGTTCCAGCAGAGATAGTTTCAGGCTGAAGAACAACAGTGAGAGTCTGCTCCAGCACTGTGCCAGAACCCAACCCCTCTTGACCAGATTCAACTCTTGATAAACGCAATCTCTGAGAATGATAAAACCCTCTGTAAACAGAAGGCCTGTTCATCAACGCAGAGATCCCATCCTTGTCTCTACAGGGGAGCAGCTTTAGCCACGGGGTCAAGTTCTCAGTACAAACAGCTTCACGTGGCAGCGAGCCATACCTCAGCTTCTCTGAGTTTGGCCCAAACCCCCATGTAGGAGCAGCATACGAAGTGGAGGATTCTAGAAAGTTGATGGAAGCACAGAAAAGCCCTGACAGTGCGTGGGTTAAGTTCTTCCAGGAAGTATCAACCTGAGAGTGAGGAACATCAAACACAGCCCACAGCTCGACCCCAACAGGCTTCGGATTCATACTCGATAGCGGATCGAATCCTCCCCAGTGTTCATGGTTCCAACGGCCCTGAGTAAAAGATAGCTCCATCTCCTTGACCCTAAATTTCTCAACCTGTTCAAAGAATTCATGTTTCAGAGATTACGGAAAACCAAAAACAACTACACCACTACAGTCGAAATCAAGATCACAAGAGCTAGAATGATGTGGTAAAAGACTAATCGGATCAATTCGCACAAAATTTTCAATTTCAGTCTTCCGATTTCTTAGTGGCGAAAGATCAAAAGCGAAGAAGAGAGCAAAACTGAAACGACCTAATTGCATTCCAGGTGAAATTTCCTCTCTAATTTCTAAGCTCGATACATTTTCCGGGAAAAAAAGCAAAGAGGTTATTTACCAGCTGAGAAATAGCTTTCGGGAAGAGATGATGATGGCGGCCATGGGAATTTGACGGAGGAGCTCGGTTTTCGAAATGGAAGTGAGCTAAGACTTTTCGATCGGGCAGAGGCTTCAGAAGCAATGCCTCGCTGAATTCTTCAACTTCTATCGACTCAGAAGCGATGGCAACGAGAAACGATTGCAAAATTAAGAAAGGGATCCAGGAGATAACAAGTCTGACCATAATCGGATCCACTGATAAACGCCCGGAGTCGTCGGTCACTGACTTGTATTACCGGAGATCGAGCATTACAGGGTAGATCGCTGAGCTCCGGCGAGGGGAATGGGAAACGCTTTGAGTTTTAAACGCGGAAATAGTGTAAATGCGATTAAAGAGCGATGGCGGTAAGCCGATAATGAAAGTTACTAGAAACCAAAACAAAAGACAAAAACAAATGAAAACAAATAGGGAAGAAATTGATTATAATATAATACCTAGACGTGAGATCAGCTAGTTCCTCAACGTTTATTCAACATTTGGATCGTATGCAAACAACATTGGACGATATTCAATATTTACAAACTAAGCTATACGACAAATTGACAACAATGGAAATAGTAAAAATGGAAAAAAAAAAACACAGCATGTAGGGGATTTGTTAAACCATAAAGTAGAGCCAGCATGAAGAAAATAGCATATAGTTTTGTTCTTTTGTTTCAACTTTCTCCTTTTTTCTGTTCTTCTTATTTCTTGATAATCAAAAGCATGTGCAGCTTTTGTACTTACAACGACAAGACTCATGCCACTCTCATTGATTCGACTTTCGGATGATGGAGTATGGTGATGGATTATTATGCTCAAGGTATGGCCGAGATACATGTGTTATAAACCCCACAAATGGGTTCTCAAGACTATTGCCGAGATTTCAAGAAAATTCCAAGATCAAAACTTTTGTGGGTTTTGATTCAACTAATGGATCTTACAAGGTTGTCGCAATGAGTGAAGGTAGAGGCAAAGATGATCACTCGGCGAATAATCACATCTTAACAATCAATCATGATCAACTTAGCAACTTTTGGAGGTGAAGGCCAATAATCTGCAACATACCACATAGGATAAACCCTCGTGGTGGCTATTCTCCTCGATCGGTTTGTATTTCTGGCATCGTGTATTACACAGCCCTCTTTTAGAATAAGAAACTTGAGATTATTCAGATCAATCTTGCAACAGAGGCGTACAGACGCAACAAGGTTCCACGGGATAAGTTTATGGGGGCAGGTTATGCGTTTGGATGTTTGAGTCTACTCAACATTAGAGCAAAGTGGGAGTTTGCTTTCTACAGGGTAGTAACGACTAAGGAAGAAGGAGACTACAAAATATTGGTCTTAGAAGATCCAGAGAATAACAGTTGGTCCTCGATTCTTGTAACTAAATTAATTAGTGTCTTTCTTTAGGATTTGATGTGGCGTTACACGATGTTATCATACACCACATCAAAATATGCAAGTGAAATTAAGAAACAGAGAAAAATGTGAAGCATAATATATGTTGACGTTTGTGACACATTTCATATGCAAAGCATTTGGGTCGTCGACGCCAACATTATACGTTACCCGGTGGTTAAAATCCCTACACGAATAACACTTTATTTATAACTCTCTAAATAAAATAATAGAACTGGTAAGGCAGACCAAAATCTATTAAAACATCCAGAAAAATACAAAACAGAAAGGCACAAAAACAATGTTTAAAATTCTCCACCATAGAAGATTTGAATATGTAATTTATACAATAAGAAACGTCACTGTGTAGCTAATTGTATACCACAGTTATAATACAAATCTCTAGGAACTCCACCACGTATAAGTCCAAATCTGAAATGTATACATTAATCGTAAATATCTTCTCATTAGAAGTATCATTTTTCGGTCTCGTTATCATAGTTGCGAGTGAAAGGACTTGATTAGTCAATCTTTGCTGTTTAACGATAATTCCTATTTAATCGGGTACTTTAAAAACTTTATATTCCCAAAATACCCCAACGCCAACATAAGAAAGCCGGCCAATGGCCACTAAATATGAAAAGCTCCGCCACTATCCTGTGAAAAGGATGACGTTTCGTAACGATTCTATCATCTTCCTCGGACTTCCACTTCTTCTACTACTCTGCTTTCTCTCTCCGGCAAGCTTCTCCGCCGATTATATCCCGTCTACGTTGGACGGTCCGTTCGTTCCGGTGACGGTGCCGTTAGACACCTCTCTCCGGGGAAACGCAATCGATTTGCCCGACACCGATCCTCGCGTCCGCCGTCGCGTCACCGGTTTCGAGCCCGAGCAGATTTCTCTAACTCTTTCTTCCGATCATGATTCTATATGGGTCTCTTGGATCACAGGTTCCTTTTTCCGCCACCTTTTGATCACATTTTTCATTTACTGAAAATTCCGTGATTTATATACAGTTTATATTTTATTACGTAATAAATGCTTACTCTGACATAAGAGAAAGAATCTTATTATCACCAACACTTTTTAACTCTTTTTTGTTACTTCAATCTAAAGTTAGATTCTTGCGACTCATGGAACTAAAGCTAACAATGGTTGTAGTACAAGTTTGTATTTCCCTTTAATTAATGAAGTAATTGTCGGATTCATAGGTGAGTTCCAAATCGGGAAGAACGTGAAGCCATTAGATCCGACAAGTATCAAAAGTATTGTCCAATTCGGGACCTTAAGGCACTCACTGAATCATGAAGCCAAAGGACATGCACTTGTTTATAGTCAACTTTACCCTTTCGACGGTCTCCTTAACTATACTTCTGGAATCATACACCATGTTCGCATTACAGGTTCATTCTTTTCTTGATTTATTTTCCTTTATTGTGTAATTGTATTGCATTTGCCTAGTGTGTATATTTTCAAAATGAAATGATAACCCTTGCTAGCACATTAAATAAATTTATTTTGTTACAAACCGAACGATCTTGCCTTTTTAATTAGCAAACAAATTTATAAAAAATATGAAAATGTTTTAGCTTTTAAAAGTGTTTTTTAAAACAAAATTACATGAATGCAAACGCAAACGCGGAAATTTGAATATCGTTAGTTAATCGATTCTTTATTACAGATTGTTCTTTTTTTAAAACGCAGGGCTGAAACCAAGTACTGTCTACTACTATCGATGTGGAGATCCTTCCAGATGGGCGACGAGTAAGATACACCATTTCAGGACAATGCCACTTTCTAAGCCCTCAAGTTATCCCGGTCGGATAGCGGTTGTGGGTGATCTTGGTCTCACTTATAACACAACGGACACAATCAGTCATTTGATTCATAATTCTCCTGATCTTGTTTTACTGATCGGCGATGTGAGCTACGCAAATTTATACCTAACAAACGGGACTAGCTCGGATTGTTACTCTTGCTCATTCCCGGAGACTCCCATACACGAGACTTACCAGCCACGTTGGGACTATTGGGGTAGGTTTATGGAGGATCTGACTTCGAAAGTCCCTTTGATGGTGATCGAAGGTAATCATGAGATCGAAGTGCAAGCAGAGAACAAAACATTTGAAGCTTATAGCTCAAGATTCGCTTTCCCTTTTAAAGAAAGCGGCTCGTCTTCTCCGCTCTATTATTCTTTTAACGCTGGTGGGATTCACTTTGTCATGCTCGGTGCCTATATCGCTTACGACAAATCAGGTTTAGTAATATTCTCAGAACTAGGAATCATCTGTTTTACATATTTGTTGCATCTCTTGTAAAGATTCTGTCTTCGTGTTTTTGCAGGGAAGCAATATGAGTGGCTAAAGAATGATTTGGCGAAAGTAGATAGATCGGTAACTCCATGGTTAGTAGCTACTTGGCATCCACCTTGGTATAGTACTTACACAGCGCATTACAGAGAAGCAGAATGCATGAAAGAAGCTATGGAGGAATTGCTTTACTCTTACGGTACCGACATTGTCTTCAACGGACATGTAAGTTACTAGACCCCACAGCATTAAGCCTGTCTTTTTATCTTTGACTTTTGACTTGAAAACATTTTTGTCCAGGTTCATGCTTATGAACGGTCGAACAGAGTTTACAATTACGAACTAGACCCATGTGGTCCGGTTTACATTGTAATTGGTGATGGAGGTAACCGTGAAAAGATGGCCATCGAGCACGCCGATGAAACCGGTAAATGTCCTGAGCCGTTGACCACACCGGATCCAGTCTTGGGTGGTGGGAAATTTTGCGCTTCCAACTTCACAGCGTCTGGTGAGTTCTGCTGGGATCGGCAACCTGATTATAGTGCCTTGAGAGAAAGCAGCTTTGGCCATGGAATCCTAGAGGTATGCAGTTTCATTAATCATTACTCCTAAACGCTTCAAAAACCAAGATTAGGCTTAAGTCTAATTATAAAGATGACTAATTTGCAGATGAAGAACGACACATGGGCGCTATGGACATGGTATCGGAACCAAGACTCGACCAGTCAAGTCGGTGATCAGATTTACATCGTGAGAGAACCTGATCGATGTCCCAGTCACAACCGCCTTGTTAACCATTGCTAAGTTTAAACAGACAATGGCTTACAAATAAAAGTTTGTCTACACTGATAAAATGGAAATTTCTCCAAGAAAATAAAAAGTTTTAAAATTTATCCAAAAAGATGTAAAAAGTATCAAAATTTGTTGAAAACTAAAAGATCTCGAGGAATTCGAGGACGAAGCTACTGCAAACAGGGCAATGACCTTTCTGAGCCATGAGCTCTTTAGAGCAGAGCTTACAAAACGTGTGACCACAAGGCGTGAAAGACGCGCCTTTGATTTTCACCTGACAAACGCAGCAGCTGAGCTCTCCTTCTCCACCGTGACCATCTTCCTCCTCGTCTTCTTCTTCTTCCTCTTCGTATTCTTCTTCATCGTCCATGGCGTATCTCGATCCCGTTAGTCCCATTTGCCGATCTGTCTCTTCCAACAGATCCATCAGCGACATGGTCTGTTTCGGCGCAGAAGCCGCCGACGATTTCTCCTCTGCTTCTCCTGAATCGTCATCCTCCTCGTTGTCGTCATCGTCCTCGTCGTCGCTTCCAATCGCCGCAGCTTCGGCGGCTTCCTGCGCCGCGACGGCTTCTCTCGCCGACATCTGCCTCTCTTCCACGAACGTGACAACCGGATGACGGCGTCTGTTATCCTCTTCCCCCTCCGAGTGATCCCTGACGGAATCGTGCCGCGATAACTGCGGTTTAAAGCTCCTCGACGACGGTCCATCTCCCAGAACGCTGACGTCGGGTGAATCGTCCGGGTTTTTGCTCGACCCGATCCGCATTGAAGATCCGCGACTGAACATCGCGCGTCCCGAGGAACCGGGTGGATCCGACATCGGAATTGCGCTGACCAGGCCTCGGAGGTTAACCGTATCGTTGGTTAAACCGGCGGATTGTGATCGGAAAGCAGCTGCAAGGTGTTTGGGATTAGGGATAAGGATATCCGAGGCGGGGATATGAAGAGACGAGGTCCAAGCGGAACCGGTTCGTTTGAGACGGAGCTTCTCGCGGAAAATCTGCCACGTGGTCCGATCCTTGTGCCCTTCCTTGTGGTATTCTTCGCGGATGATATCGAAAAGCGTTTGGCTTGTTGTTTTGCGGTGGTGCGTTACTAGAGAATTTTCCGGCAGAGGCGGTGGCGATGGTGGAGAGTCTGGAGACGATGGTGTTAAGACCTCGCCGCCAAGCACAGCGTCCAAAGTTAGTCCGGCTAACGAGTTACTACGGCTCTTTAACGCCGACATTTAACTCCACGCCGTCTCCCGCAACCTTTCTCCATCAATTATGGTCAATAAAGTTTAATTTAAAAAAATGAATTATTTCTTCCGTAGAAACTAGCCAAGATGGAAATGTTACCTCTTGCATCGAATTTAGAGTGTGTTGAACATCGTTTTCGCTTTAGACTGAAAATTCAAAGCTTTGGGATTTTGGATAATTTGGAAATGGAAAAAATGTAATCTGTTTTAGAATGTTTTTAACGTTTTATCATCTAGAGTTTTCTTTTTGTTTCTTACCTCCTTAAAATTGTAACAAAATATGTGGTAAAAGTGTTCTAAAATGGAGAAGAAAGAGCAAGGAAGAACGAGTTTTAAGGTGGAAAAATGATCTATATTAAGGATGCCTTTACAATCTATTCGTTGAAAAAAGGCAAGTTTTTTTTAATGATTAATGTGAATTACCAAGTTTAATAACAAGACTAAGGAGAGACCGGAGCAATGAGATGGACACAACAAGTGTATTGTAATTTGTAACTGTACGATGCTAGGTCTCTAGACAATAAACATTGATCTCGAAAAGCGTCTCCAACACTCCATCATGAAGTTTGAACGACACACTTTTTTATAATCAATCTGCATACCGAGTTTGGAGAGCATACATGATACAATTTGGCTTGCCAGATTTTGAGTGCTCTTCTCTGTTCATCATATTTGTACTTAACGCTTTATCATTCCCTACTTAATAATTCAATGTGCAATTTAGTTAGCTTCTTTTGAGTAACACATAACAAAAAGTTTGCATCTCGAATAATCCATGAGACATAAAAGTGCATAGACGGATATTAATCGGACAAGCAGACAATAGACAAAACAGTCAATATGTCCGAGTGGTTAAGGAGACAGACTTGAAATCTGTTGGGCTTCGCCCGCGCAGGTTCGAACCCTGCTGTTGACGATTGTATTTTTTTTTCATTTACTTTTTTAACAAAAGTGATACTTGACAAATCTACCCTTTCGACATTAATCTTTTGCAATGATAAACATAGCCCAAAACGCCCAGTTGTCTCGGCCCAATGAGATGGTCTAAAGAAGGCAACGCAAAACCCTAAATCGAAAAAGTCTTTCTGAATCGCATTTGTAATCACCCCGGCAGTAGTGAACCAGCGGCTGATCAGAGTTGGGTAAAAAATGGTGTCCGGGTCAGGGATTTGCGCCAAACGTGTTGTGGTCGATGCTCGCCACCACATGCTAGGTCGCTTAGCTTCGGTTGTGGCGAAGGAGCTGCTCAATGGCCAGAAGGTTGTTGTCGTCCGGTGCGAGGAGATTTGTCTCTCCGGTGGACTTGTCCGTCAGAAGATGAAGTACATGAGATTTCTCCGCAAGCGTATGAACACTAAGCCGTCTCACGGTCCCATTCACTTCCGTGCTCCCTCCAAGATCTTCTGGCGCACCGTTCGCGGGTTCGTAACATCTCTCTCTCTCTCTCAAATCTGAAATAGTTCTTTATCGTTTTTAGGAATTTGATACTTTGAATAGTGTAGCTACGGAAGCCGTTACGTTTTGCAAATTGTCTCAAATCATTTGTTTTTTTGGATGCTTTACTAGTTATCTAATCACAGTAATGCATATGGTGTAAGTGTTTACATTATTGTAACATCATTTCTTCTCTTTATTTAGAAGATATTGAAATAGACGAAATCTAATACGAATTTGCTGTTGGAAGTAGTTGTTGTAGCTAACTTATTAGTGTCTGGTATTGTTTTCAGTATGATTCCGCACAAGACTAAGCGTGGAGCTAATGCACTTGCCCGCTTGAAGGTCTTTGAAGGTGTTCCTACTCCATATGACAAGATCAAGAGGATGGTCATTCCTGATGCTCTCAAGTTTGTTCTTTTACCCTTTCATTCTCAAAATTTTCCGACGTCTTTAACATCGACTTACTTCTAGTAATTAACTCTTAAACGTTGAATCTTCTTCCTTGATCAGGGTCTTGAGGCTGCAGGCTGGTCACAAATACTGTCTCTTGGGCCGTCTTTCTACTGAAGTCGGGTGGAACCACTACGACACCATCAAGGTATGTTTCACTTCACTTCTTATGTGCTACTCACTTCTTCAAGAAAACTGATTAAGAACATAAGTTTTGTGTATATTATAACATAATATGCATACACCACATAATTGTTTTGTTTTTGGGTCAGACGAATCTTAGATACGCATCCAAATGCACATGTTTGGAAGGAGAGATTATAAGTTAATGAATGTGTATTTTTGAATGAGCAGGAGCTGGAGAACAAGAGAAAAGAAAGATCTCAGGTTGTCTATGAGCGAAAGAAGCAGCTTAACAAACTCAGAGCGAAGGCTGAGAAGGTCGCTGAAGAGAATCTTGGATCTCAGCTTGACGTTCTTGCTCCTGTCAAGTACTGAATCATATCAGTTTACTGTTTTTGAATGTTTCCTCAAGTTTTGTTATATTATTACGAGGTTTTTACATGAATGATGCGTCTTCTTCAGTCATGCATTATGTTCCTTCTGAGTTTTCGGATAGATATAACATTGATCAATGTTCGCCCAGTAATGCGATGAAGTTGTTGTGCACGTATACTTTGTTGACAGACACCAATTATGGTTTTTGGGGTTTTTGTTTTAATTTTTTTAAATAATTACTTTGAAAGTTAAAGTACTCGATGATGTACGTCACAAAGAAATTATTTATCCAATCCAGAAAAGATAAGCAGAAAAAGAATTTAGATATTCCACTGAAAATCTATACATAAATTATTTATCCAATCTAGAAAACATAATCAGAAAAAGATCTTAGATATTCCACTGAAAATATATATACAGTTCGACTATTAATTTTTAGTTTTGTGGTTATATGATAATTTCCAGAAAAGATTGATCCAAAAAACATGTAATATCTGATCAGGAAAGAATAATAATAGAGAAATGTTAAACGGGCTGTAAAGGTACAAAACTGTAAACCCAATTCGTGGCCCAGAATATATCACATCGTCTCTTTCGCTGCGCTTCCTTCTCCAATTCCGTGTCAAATCTTTCTTAGGATCAGACGATCTGAAGCCGATCGCCGTAGAATCAGTTACGTGCTGCGCAGATTCTCGACTTTTCTTCACTTAAGGTAGTCCTCGCTCTCTAACTAGATTGAATTTGATGCTAATTTAGTTTTTTTAGCTGATAGTCAGTGGTTATTGATCCAGATCTTTCTGATCTCTTTAGAAGAAGGGAAAATCATCAACGGAGAGGGAGTTTCTCAGTGGATATCTATTCTCCGTAAGATCCTCTTGCTCGAGCAGAATTGAATCGCTAAAGTCCTAGAATCGAGGGAGTGACAATCGGGAAGGCGTAGTCTTTGCTTAGATCTAAACGATCATCTTGAGAAAGGACGAAAGATCACTGCAAAAGTGTTCAAATTTGTGATCATTGAAGAAGACTACCGATTTTCAGAGGCGGATCTGTCCAGGTCGGCACTGCGAAAGGGAACTAAACCAGTTTACTCCAGAGGATTATGAGATTCCGGTGAAGGAATCTGATTCTAGGATTGTAATTGATCTGGTCCCTTGCTTCCAGCTTGCCGATAACTTTGTCAACAAATTCCGGTGTTAAGTAGTAAGCAGTAATGGGTACGGAAAAGCAGGGTTATCCGAATATTCCAGCTAGGCCTTCATCCTCTCCGTTTGCATCTGCTCCGCCGCCAGGAGTTCCACCACAATCCGGCGGACCAGAGGCGGTTGGCTTTAGACCTTTCCCACCAGCTGCTTCCCAACCTATGAGGCCTTTCACACCTTCTGGTCCTCCTATGGCTCCACCAGCGGGTCCAATGAGGCCTCTCCAATCTCCTTTAGTTTCTCAGATTCCAGGGATTAGGCCTCCACCTCCACCTCCTAGTGGTGGCTCCTTTCAGCAGTTTCCACCCCCGCCATTCCCGACTACGCAGAATCCTCCTCGTGGTCCACCACAAACTCAAACTCTTGCAGGCCATTTATCCCCTCCGATGTCTCTTCGCCCACAGCAGCCAATGGCGCCTGTAACAATGGGACCTCCACTACAAAGTATGAATTCTGGCCCACCTGGAGGCATTGCTTCTCCACCAGCTTCAGGTTTTCAACAGTCAATGCCTCCCGCTACTCCACCTTATTCTGGCTTGGTTGGTCCACAGCCATCTTTTCCTGGTTATCCCAGCAAGCAGGGGTTACAGGCTCCTCCTATGCCGTTCCAGTCTGCACCCCAGGGTCCTCCGTCTACAGTCTCATCATATCCTCCTCAGGGACCAGGTTATGCTAGGCACCCAAATATGGCAGCACAGCAGAATCTGCAGCCAGGCTATGCACCTCCTCCTAGTAACGTTCAAGGCTTGGTGGAAGATTTCAACTTCCTAACCCTTTCATCTATTCCGGGGTCGCATGAGCCAGGACTTGATCATAACTCATTCCCAAGGCCATTGGATGGTGACGTGGAGCCTGATTCATTTGCTGAAATGTACCCCATGAATTGCCATTCTAGATATCTACGGCTGACAACCAGTGCTATTCCAAGTTCCCAGTCTCTGGCGTCTAGGTGGCATTTACCTCTAGGAGCTGTGGTTTGTCCACTTGCTGAGGCTCCTGAAGGGGTTAGTATACGTTAAGCTTACTATGAAGTCTTGTAAATTCTTTCATGTTTTGATATAATCTGGAACTCTTCACGTGCTACATATGAGCACACGTTTAACTTTTCCCTTATGCAAATTGTCGTTTTTATTTCTTCAGGAGGAAGTACCACTTATTGATTTTGGCTCATCAGGCATCATCCGCTGCAGAAGATGCCGTACCTATGTGAATCCTTATGTGACTTTTACAGATGCTGGAAGAAAGTGGCGGTGTAATATATGTTCTATGCTTAATGAAGGTAATTTTTCCAAATCTTAGGATTGGTTTATTATCTAAAGTGCTATAGAACATCATTGTTATTTAAATATGCCTCGTCTAATTGTCTTGCTTTTTTCTTTTTTTTTGTTAGATCTCTGATTTATCTACATGGTCTTTTTTTTTCCTGTTGCGTTTTGTCTACTCATTGTACTAAGTTATGTGTAGTTTTTTTCTCTGGTTTTCCTTATAGGAAAGGGTTATTTATCTGGGCACTTAGTAGATTTATCGTAAATGAATCTGGTGAAAGCTACAAGGAACTGTTCTTGGTGTTGTGTATGTTTTTTCTTTTGTGGTGAAATGTCACATTTGTCAATATAGTTATTGGCCTCTTTTTGCTTTCCTTAAATAGTTTTATTGATAGGTACCCCATGTTCAGTACTTTCAGGCATATATTTATATAAGATGAATACTCATAGTTATGGGTCAAATTTCTTGTTCAGTGCCTAATGAATACTTCTCGCATTTGGATGCGACTGGCCGACGAATGGACATGGATCAGCGGCCTGAGCTGACAAAAGGCAGTGTTGAAATCATAGCTCCAACTGAATACATGGTTCGGCCTCCGATGCCACCAATCTACTTCTTCCTCATTGATGTTTCAATTTCGGCTTCTAAAAGTGGGATGCTTGAGGTAAGCATGGTGGATTTCAGTTTCGACCTTATAATTTTGTTGGCATTAAATATTGTTTCATAGTTAGTAAGCGCCAATGCATGCCTGGTTTTAATCTGAATACACTACGAATCGATGTATCTAGATGCTTAGACACGCTCTTTCTTTTAGATGCAAGCTTTCCTAAAATTTAGATCTTACAGTGACCTTTTTTGCTTCTTTGTCAGGTTGTAGCTCAAACGATTAAGTCTTGTTTGGATAACCTGCCTGGTTATCCTAGAACTCAAATTGGATTTATTACTTATGACAGCACGTTACATTTTTACAACTTGAAGGTAATAGAATTGTGAATACGCAGGAAAATTTGTTCTGAAATATTTTGGCTTTTATCATGTATAATTTGTGGACCTTGGCAATGCAGTCATCTTTGAGTCAGCCGCAAATGATGGTGGTTTCGGATCTAGATGATATATTTATCCCATTACCGGATGATCTCCTTGTCAATCTATCTGAATCTAGAAATGTGGTGGAAGCCTTTTTGGACAGTCTGCCTTTGATGTTTCAAGATAATTATAATGTGGAATCGGCTTTTGGTCCAGCCCTTAGAGCGGCGTTTATGGTTATGGTTAGTCACTATCCTGCCATGTCAAATGGAAACCACATAATTCATTGATATCAGTGACCTATATGGATCCTCATCTGAAATTTGTATCAGTTTGTAGTTGATTCGGTTTTCACTCTCTATTTCAGAACCAACTTGGTGGCAAGTTGCTAATTTTCCAGAACTCGTTACCTTCTCTTGGTGCTGGGCGGTTAAAGTTGCGGGGAGATGATCCTCGTGTCTATGGAACTGACAAAGAATATTCTTTAAGGGTAGCTGAAGACTCCTTCTATAAGCAGATGGCTGCCGATTGTACCAAGTTCCAGATAGGAATTAATGTTTATGCATTCAGTGATAAGTACACTGATATTGCCTCCTTAGGTACGTAAACATTATGGTTATCACTGATGTTTCAATTCAGGGGTTTGGCGCCTTCTCCTCTCATAAATATTGCTGTTCTGAATAATGAGGGGTTTGTGCAGGGACTCTGGCAAAATACACTGGAGGACAGGTGTACTATTATCCAGGCTTCCAATCACCTGTTCATGGAGAAAAGCTAAGACACGAGCTGGCTAGAGACCTTACAAGGGAAACTGCCTGGGAATCGGTTATGCGAATAAGATGTGGAAAAGGTTTAGTAATTTATGATACAATTTTTATATGTGCTGGCTATTATGTCACTCAAGATTTGCTAAATTGGTTGGTATGCTACATTTCATCTTACATATTCTTGCATGCAGGAATTCGTTTCTCGTCCTACCATGGGAACTTCATGCTAAGGTCTACTGATCTGCTTGCTCTTCCTGCTGTTGACTGTGACAAAGCATATGCAATGCAGCTATCACTGGAAGAGACATTGCTAACAACTCAGACTGTGTATTTCCAAGTCGCTTTGCTGTATCCTTGAATAGTTGGTATTTTAAGCATATTTGATTTTAAAGTTTGATTTTCAACTGGTATAACGTATCAAGTGGTTTTAGTAATCCTTAACAGAACTAAGATATACTGCTTCTTGCGGAGAGAGGCGTATAAGGGTACACACAGCTGTTGCACCAGTGGTTACCGATCTTGGAGAGATGTATAGACAAGCAGACACTGGTTCCATTGTCTCTGTATATACTAGATTAGGTAGGATACATTATACTTTTTTCAAGTAGCGTGATATGCTTCATTGGATACTATTAAATGACGGCTTTAATTTTTGTAGCAATTGAGAAATCCTTGTCCGCAAAGTTGGATGATGCACGGAATGTAATACAGCAAAAGATTGTTAAAGCCCTCAGAGAATATCGAGATCTTCATAAGGTGCAGCATCGGTTGGGGTCTAGATTGATATACCCAGAGTCTTTGAAGTTTTTGCCATTGTACGGATTGGCAATTTGTAAGTCCACTCCTCTACAAGGTGGACCTGCTGATGCTTCACTTGACGAGCGCTGTGCGGCAGGCTACACCATGATGGCTCTGCCCGTCAAAAAGCTGTTGAAGCTTTTATATCCCAATTTATTCCGTGTTGACGAGTGGCTCTTAAAGGTTTGTGCATCTCTATCTCAATGTCCATTATCAAAAATTCGTTTCAAGAAATCTTTAAATCATATATGAATTTACATTTATATGCAGCCATCAGCAGACCACAATGACCTTAAGGACGTTTTAAGGAGATTGCCTCTGGCTGCAGAGAGTTTGGATTCTAGAGGCCTCTACATTTATGATGATGGTTTCCGATTAGTTTTGTGGTTTGGCCGGATGCTTTCACCTGACATTGCCAAGAATCTTCTTGGGGCTGACTTTGCAGCAGAGCTCTCAAGGGTATGTTATTTCATCCACATGCACTCTTTTGCATATGAATCTGAATGAGCGAGACATCCAGTGATTTATATGAAACCCATGTATTTGTTTGTGTTGGGGTTTTAGGTTGCACTGCAAGAGCAAGAGAATGGGATGTCAAAGAAGCTAATGAGGTTGATAAAGAAAGTGAGGGAGGACGATCCTTCATATCATCCCATGTGTTTCCTAGTGAGACAAGGAGAACAACCGCGAGAAGGCTTCCTTCTCCTCAGAAATCTCATCGAGGACCAGATGGGCGGTTCGACTGGTTATGTTGATTGGATTCAGCAAATTCACCGCCAGATCCAACAAAATGCGTAATATGGCTCACGATCGTAAGCAATCTTCTTTCCATATCTTAACTTCCAATACATGCTCAAAGAGTCTCGAATCATTTTCAAGCCATCTTATGAGTTCCTTTTGTTTTTCTAGACAACTCAGGTGCCTGAATGCGCCTCTTTTGTAAACCATTGAAGAATCAAAATCTTCTTCTTAAGCCGCCTATGGTTTTCGATCATTGCGGTCTGCTTCCTGGGGGGGATAATGTATGTTGAAGAAAAGAAGACTACTTTGATTTTTCTTCATTTGTTTTTCTACAAAACTTTTCTCAAATCCAAGGCTTTTTATTTGCCTAACCAGAATATGGTTTTGTCCGTAAGATTAGACGTTTTTGTTTCTGCTTTTGTTGCTTCTTCCTTTTTGTTCCTTTCTAATTTATTATTCTTGTACGTCTATGCCAAATTTATCTTGGAGTTTCAGTTCATGAATCTGTCTTAACTTGGAATGATATTAACAAGAAGATGGCTTCTTTTAGAATTGAAGAAGATTTGTATGATTATATATCTTTGATTATATATCTACAAAGAAAGAGGATCAGCAAATTGAAGTAGTGTTGTAAAGTGAACGCCTCTCGAACGTTGTTATGATTTCTGGTTAAAAGTAGTATCAGGATTGTGTTATGCTCTTAATCTTCTTATCTTATCACATTGTTAATCAAGTTGAGAGTTATAGACACAAATTGAAAATCCGGAACAGCCTAATATTTATGAGGTTTACGAAAAAGAAAATCATTTAACTTGTCTGAATCTTTCAAAAAGAAACTTTTTGGCATTGTGCATAAAGAAACTAGACTTCCATAATAGGGGAAATTAAAAAGCGACGAAATTTCGATAACGTCTGTTTCGAAAATTCTGGTCGGTCGAACCGGAACCGTTTGGGTATGGAGAAGAGACGTGTCAATATCTGATTGGGTGGTACCTTCCAGAAGGGTACAGAATAGACAGAGAGAGAGAGAGAGCACACGTTTGCTTAAACGGCGTCATAAATGGGTTTTCCAATTTCTAATCGCTTGCCTTTATAAACCTCTGTGAACCATTGCTTTCGAAGAAAGTATTCAGATTTGAGCATATCGACAAATTTTCCGAGCTTGCTGGGGAAGATAGAGCGGCGATTTTCATTTTCGTTTTCGTAAGTGATCGCTCCCTCTTTTGTCGCAACCTATTTTTCAATTACGTATCCTGATATTGAGCATCGTGGTTTCTAGATTTGGATTTTCTATTTGCGGATACTCTTTTTAAGGTGGTCCTATAGTAGTAAGGAATCGTTTCTGGATTCGATCTGCAAAAATTTGGAAGACTCATTTTGCGAAAATCCTTTTGCGAGGAGGTCTTGTAGTTTTCTCGGAATCGTTTGTGGTCTTGTAGCTAAGTTCTTAGATCTGTTGGATTCGAAATCTTATGCAGGAATTTTGATTTTTTGATTTTTCAATTTTGTTCAGGGAGTTTAACTTGTTTCAACGATACTTTAAGATTTCTACTCGAAGATGGCTGAGGTATGATCTCTTTATCATCTCTGGAATTATAATTAAATGCATTGCCTCGTTGTTGGTTTTGATTGAATGTGTGGAAAATGTGATAATTGCAGGAAGCGCACAGGGTTACGTTGAATGTGTATGACCTAAGCCAAGGCTTAGCACGCCAGCTCTCGGCATCACTTTTGGGAAAGGTTATCGAAGGTGTATGGTGAGTTTAGTTATCTCTTGACCATGTTCATACACTCCGTTAAATCCTAGGCTCTTAAGAATTTGAATGTATGCGTCAAGTGTTCTGAGCTATGTATTGTATACCTTTTTCTCAGGCATACGGGAGTGGTTGTGTATGGGAACGAATACTTTTTCGGGGGAGGAATACAGCATTTGCCAGCTGGAACAACTCCGTATGGAGCACCATTGCGAATCATAGAGCTGGGTGAGTCACATGTTCCTCAAGACGTGTTCGAGATGTACTTGCAGGAGATCAGTCCTCGTTACACAGCTGAGTCCTACAATTTGCTTACTCACAACTGCAACAACTTCAGCAACGAGGTCGCTCAGTTCTTGGTTGGTAAAGGAATCCCAGATTACATTCTCCAGCTTCCTAATGAGGTTATGAACAGCCCCATGGGTGGTCTCTTAAGTAAGTCAGCTGATAACTCGTCTTTGTATCCGGTTTGTTCGGCTCTGAACTGTTTTGATTTCATGTCTTTGTTTGCAGTGCCTATGATACAAAACCTTGAAACGACTCTAAGAGCCGGCGCTGTTCCTCATGCTCCACAGTTTAGGCCACAACAGCAGCCACAACCTTTTGGAGCTTTCAGCAGAGACGAAGGTCCAAAACCATCTGAGAAAGCTTCTAAGCCTGAGGATTCCAAAGCCTCAGCTTCAACTACGAAGGTTGCACCTGTTGCTCAACCTTCAGCTAGTAAAGAGAAGGTGAAGGAGGATCCGTTGGGTGATGCTAGGACCAAGATTCAGGAAGAGATTACTCGGGAGTTTACGGCTCTCATGGCACAAGGCACACTACGAGCAAGCGAAGCAGCTGCTATGGCGACTAAAAGAGTTATGCAAAAGTATGGTCATCTCAATGTAGCCGCTTAGTCTGATATCAGAGATTAAACAATTTGTTCTACTCTATTGAAAGTTTGAAACCGAGTCCAGGATCTTTGAACCATTTTTATTACTGTTTCTAAGCCTATATTCGTATATCATGTTCAACGATTTACATTTTAAATCACCACAAAAGAGGAAAAACTAGCAGAAAACATGAGTAAAGATATAAAAATTATAATAATTGCATTTACGGCGATACTACGGTCTCTGAAGAATCAGCTTCTTGTGCTGTTGGACACAATGTGAGGAGGATCTGTGAAGGAAGTCCCAGGTTCCAACTCAATAGCAGTCTCTTTGGATCTGCAAAACACCTCAGAGGGAATATTGATGCCTGCGAAACCAACCATTACAGCTGCAGCACCAATGTAGTCGGTGAAGCTTGGCTTGTTCCCTGATAAGCTGTCCACAATAGCTGCCAATGGTACCTGAATCGTTAGCCCAGCCGTTGCCACTGTGGTTGTTGTCAATAGTACTGCCTTTGCCCACATATAGTCACTTAGCACATTATCCAACAAACCTGAAAACAAGAAACACAATCCTGTTGTTATGAGTTACTGTGTGATTTATTGAAAATTGAGGGATGGGGTTTGCATACCTTTGCCAACAACTAGGCCAAACTGTTTCAAAGTTAGTGCATTGAAGCGTTCTCGCTTTGTGAAGTTGAGTATCAGAGCAGCGGGGAGGAAGATGAAGAAGTTGAAGAGACCTAGAAACCCGAGGAACTGAGCCATACTAAAGCGACCGTTTCTTTCATCATCATCCGGAAGCTTTTTCCGTATAAGAGTGATGTAGACAGCATAAAGCGCCGCTGAGATCAACGAAAGAATATCTCCCAAAAGAGGGTTTTTAGCTGTCGCGGTTGCGTCTGATTCCGAGTCACCCATACTCACAACTATCGTCCCAGACATACAAAGAAGAACGCTGAAGAGCTTCAACCACGTGAACTTCTCCCCCAAGAATATCAATGATACAAGAAACGTGAAAAGGCTTGATGCACTGCTTAAGATTGTATTCGACTGCAATTCACACAAAACGAAAAAAGGTCTTTAGTCAGGGATAAAAGAGAGCAACAAGAACGAGGCTTTTGGATGTTTCGTACCGTAACCGTTGTGTACTTGAGAGAGAGGTTAAAAGTGAGCTGTGCCAAGAACCAAAACGGACATATCACAAGGCTAACTTTAGCAACACGCATCCGTGTCCAACGTCCCTTCTCTTCTAATCCTTTGCTACTAGAGATATCACCACTAACATTATCACTAGCATCATCAATCTCAAGCTCTATATTTTCCAATCCAGATTCAATCCCATCATCACTATCTCCTTCCTCTCTCGCAACACCAACCCCTGAATTTTCAGCCGCATCTGTATTCACACCTGAAACAACATCCTGTCCAAGAAGAACAGCCTTTTCCGATTCCACCAATTCCCGCAAATGCGACCTTTTGTTTCTCCAGAACAATATACTCCCGTAAGCATCTTCCAGATATCGACCGATTTCGAAAAGGGGAAGATAAATGACGAACAGTGAATTGCAGATAAAAGTGATCAGGAACGGTGAAACGCCGGCATCTACAACAGACTGGACTACGAAACTGGCCGCAATCCAAATCGTGGCGACGGCGAATATGTATATCAACCCTAATACCCATCTCCATAACTTAGTCGACATATCTTCCAATTGAGATAAGATAAACAGAACTCGAGCTCACCGGAGAAAATCAATTGCACATTCTGCTGCGAATGCTTCAATCCCCATGAATCGAAAACGGAAAATTTCGCAAAAAAGAGCAGAAACGAGAAAGATCTGGTCAAATCCAATCAATCGTAAAACATAGCACCGCGTGAAGATGAATTACCTTCACACCGACAGATATTGGAGATCGGCGTCAAATTGTTCAATCAATGACGATTCAAAAGCGGATTCAGATAATCAGCGCGAACGAGAGAGCGAGAGAGAACAGAGAGAGAACGAGAGTTTGGCCGATGTTTGAGATTGAATATGGGCTTTCTTCTCGGCCCAATATCGTTATAAGGCTTTTAAGTTAAAAAGCCTTTTAGTTTATATACACACGACGAGACGAGAGAAACCCTAACACCTGAATTTGCTTGTTGTTTTTGTTTTGCTTTTGGATATTCCAAGTTGAGAAACACATACGAACTCACTGTTCGGTCATGACGACTCGTGGAGATGTAGCTCCGGCGATTGACTGGATCGGCTTTCAACTGGCTCTATCGGCGATCGAACTAGGAATTCTAGCTGGACACAACAACTGGAGACATTTACCAACAGAGCTAAAGATGAAGATACTGGAGTCACTTCCTGGAGTAGATATTGCAAGGGCTGCTTGCGTGTGTAGAGAGATTCGGGATCTGGATTCGGACAATGACTTATGGAAGCAAAAGTTCTTGGAAGAGTTTGCCGATCGTGTAAGAGATGAAGAAACGGAAGCAGCTGATGATTTGGATGTTGATTGGAAAGATAAGTTTGCTTGTCTATGGAGGCTAAAGCGAAGATTAAGAAGAGGGAGGGTAAGTTGCAATCCAACGTTTGCAACAGATTGGTTTGGTGCTAGAAATTGGGATCGCAGATCTGGATCCAGCGCTGCTTTACGTGTTCTTAAGCGAAGGGTGTGATTTGCGATGCTTCCGTCATTTCTCTCTCTTGCATTGCACGCTTTCTTTTCCTTGATCTTTTATGGATTTATTTCAGGGGTTTTATTTTAGTTTCTAAGTTCTTCTCTGATTTATGTTTCTATATTTGTTTTCTGAGCTTTTTTCAGTTACGCGTCCTGTTCGTCATTTTTTGGTTCATGGATTTATAAACAGAATCTTTGAGCTTTGGACGTAGAGATTGAAATTGATAAAAAAAACGGAAAAAATATTCTTAAATTGGCAACCAATACTTGTATAATTTATTCAACGAACTTAATGAAGATTGATCTATACTAACCACGAGTTAGGTGAAAGATATATAGTTTTATAGCACTAGAAAAGACTAGTCAAGTAACGAAAACGGTGAGTGAAAAATCGCACTACATTTATTTGTTTTTGGATGAGTGTGTTGTGATATATGTGGTGTGTCACAACTCACAAGAGCTATAGCCTATAGTTATGAATCATTTCTGACTAAAAAACAAGAACTTAGTGCAAAGCTTTAAAACAGAGAATAAGAATTTATGAAACATTGCATTCTCGAGCTATGAAAAGCCAGCTGGAATATACACATTCAAACAAAACAGAACATAACAACGGTAGCAACTTCTATCACTAACTCTCTGAAACTGAAAACGAAAGCCAAATAAAAGAAAAGAAAAATGAAAACAACGTAACCAAACCCAAAATTAAGATCAAGAGAAGACAAAGAAAGATGTAAAAAAGTTTATATCAAGAAGCACTTGGGTTACGGGAATGTGCTGCACTTGGAGCAGCACTTGGGTTCCGAGAATTAGCTGCGCTTGGGTTTCGAGAATGTGCTCTCGAAGCAACTCCCCATTCCATGGCCTCTGCCACTGCTCTCTCCCGTTCTTCCGCCGACACTGGATCCTCGCAGGGAGTTTGATCCGGCATTTGACGAGGAGGAGGAACGTCGTCGTAGTTTGGAACTGAGATGGATCCGTCAGGAGCTGTTCCTAAGAAACCGAGAGCGGTTACAACGTCACTTATGAGTGGCCGTACCGTTGCCTCTTCATGTAAACACATTGCTGCCACCGCCACCGCTTGATTCAGAGCTTTCTCCGGGTACACTCCCTCCAGACTCGGATCCGCTAACTCCGGGAATCTACTCGGTTCTTTGAACACCGGTTGTGCCTATAACACACACAAGAATTTAACTCTAAATTATAAATCTTTATTAGCATTTGAAGCCAAAGTATTAAGTAACCAAAATACAAAGTCTTTTTCAGTTTGAAGTTTGAGATACGTAAAGCAATTGAAGCCAAAGTCCAAGTCTCTTTTTATGTAAAGTTTAGATCTTTCAAGAAATTGAAGCCAATGTACAAGTCTTTTTTTTTCTTTCAATTTAAAGTTAAAATCTTTTAAGTTGAAGCCAAAGTACCAATCCTTTTTAATGTAAAGTTTAGATCTTATGAGAGATTGAAGCAAAAAGGGTGTTCTTAAAATCTGAATGAGAAAAATTTAAACTTACCCAAGTCACTAGATTCTGTTCAGCTTTGGGTCTAGTCGTATCAATAACTCGTCGTCCGGTTATCAACTCTAACAAGACGACTCCGAAGCTGTAAACATCAGATTTAATGGTTAACTGACCGGTTCGCTGATACTCAGGAGCACAGTATCCGTAAGTTCCCATAACTCTGGAAGAGACATGTTGTTTGTCTCCGACAGGACCTAGCTTGGCAAGCCCAAAATCGGATAACTTGGCGTTGAAGTCAGTGTCCAAAAGTATATTAGCTGCTTTCAAATCTCTGTATATCACCGGAGGATCTGCCTTGTCGTGCAAGTATTCAAGTCCCATCGCAGCACCTAGTGCGATTCTTATCCTTGTGTCCCAATCCAACGGTATTTGATCCGGAGTTAGATCTGTATACATTTCGATCAACAATTAGTAATTAATCATATACATCAGTCAATGAAGATCCTTAGTTTTGTAATATTACCGAGGAGATGATCTTCCAGTGAGCCACGAGACATGTACTCATAGACAAGAAGTCTCTGGTCTCCATCAGCACAATAACCTATGAGATTCACGAGATGCTTGTGATGCAAAAGACTTAACATTAAAACCTCTACGATGAACTCTTTGTTCCCTTGCAGCCCATTTCTATCTAATTGCTTCACTGCCACAATCTGAAATCCCAAATAAATCGTTAGGAAAATCTTTAGAGATTTGTTGTAAGGAAATGTAGAAACAAAGACCATGAATATGTCATGTACAAGATTCATCAAACTTCAACGTATTCAAGTTTCTACAAAATGGATTTTTACCACATTTCTTAAAAAATATAACCTAAATGAAAGATCCAACTAGTCAAATTAAATCAGTACTAACCTTGCCACATTTTTCGAGCTTTCCCTTGTAAACCCTACCGAAACCACCTTCACCGATCAGACATTCTTGTCGGAAATTCTTTGTGGCAGTAGCTAGTTCCCTGAAGGTGAATGTTTGCGCAGCTATATTGTTTGTCACTTCTTTGTCTGCATCATTGCTCTCTTTGTGCTCATTTGCAGTCTTAATAGGCTTTGGATTCTCTGTAAGCATCACAAAGACTTATAAAACCCTAATATTGAATTTTCTTAAAGATATCTAAAGTTTTATGTAAAATTTGTGTGAGCTTACCAGGGTGTGTTTTGTTGTTGTCTCTGCCGGTCAACTCGCCATTTCTCCGGCGGCTGTTATCTGAATCTTTTGGAGTTTTTTTCTTTTCATGGAAATAAAAACATGAAAAGCAATTCATTTCTTCTCTAATTCCCTTACGAAGAAACCCTTTCTCAAGAAAATTTCGATCTCTTTGAATTTTCTTATTCTGTCTCTCTTGTGATTAAAAATTGTCTGCAGAAAGCTGAAAGCCTCAATTGGTATGAGGACCACAAATTAAGACCAGAAATGGATCTTTGTTCGAGTTGTTAATTTGTTGAATAAATGCCTGCGTGGACGAGGGAAAACAAAAACGATATTTTCAGATAAAGCAAGAATTGTATCTGGAAAATAAATGTTGGCTTGTAAAGAGAAAGCAAAGCAAACCTAGAATCCTTTCATAAACCAATGGTTGCCTCTTTCGCAAGAAACCCTTAGGGTTTTCCCTTTTATCTTCTTCACCTTAATATGTTTTATCGCCAAGATCTAACAAAACCCAGATCAAGAAAAATAAAAATCAACGCCAAAAACCGTTGGGATCCGAAGCGCGGAAGAGACTCCGAGAAAAATGGAGGGAGAAAAGTGGACTTTTCAGGTTTAGGTTTCTGAATTTCTCTTAATATAGACAACTAAACTACTCTTTAGTTAATGATTAAATATCAAAATGGGGTCCATGTATCATTGTTCTCATGTTTGTGTGCCTCACATTTCTCTAATATAAGTTTTGGCGTGCAATTTGTATTTAAAAAACAAGCTAACCTCCCCCAAAACTGTTTAAAGAGATTTTAAACATATAAAAAACTAAATAATATTGGAGTATGGTTTGAAGTGGAAAAACAAAGATTGACATGGAGGCCATGAAGTGAATAAAATAAATGCAACAAAGTGCTTGGATGTAATGTTTGATGGTGGCACGAACTATAGCCCAATCTCTTTTAAAATAAATAAAAAATAGAATAACTGTAACACAATTATTATTCCCAAAAATCTCTTTTAAAATTGCGAACAAATAAGAACAAGATATATAGAAGAAAATAAAGAAAGGGTAATGATCATTTCTGACTCTTTTGTTTACAGAAAAAACAAGTCAACAATCTTCTCCAAGAGGCTCTTCCAAATACGATTGAGAAAGGGACAGATATCAATTAGGATGTGATAATTTTTTTAATACGATACTTCAATGTTCTAACAATTATTATAAAAAAAAAAAAAAAAATCAAACACATAGATAGACCAAGACATGTAATCGAGTGGTTTGTATTAATGTGGTTGGTGTATTGGGTAAAATGAATGAATGGTGTTGCACAAAAAATAATAAAAATCCCTCATGAAACTAAACTGTGATCCGACCAACAAATCGGTTAATCTAGTTATGTCATAAAACTTTTGTTTAATTAACATAGAGTAATTGCACGCGCGCACTACCGTCGTCGTCGTCAGAGAGAGACATCGACCTGAGCAGAAGAATCGGTCAAGATCACGTCTCTCGAGTTATCGGCTTTTGGGTGATCCTTCGAGTCTAACTTAATACGCACATGCATTGGCTTCACGAACACAATGTCTCTCACTTGTCTCTTTGACTTCAACAACACTTCCACAAACAAATCTTCATTCATCGTCGTCATGTTCCTTGTTGGCTTTAATATCTCTGCTACTCTTCTCGCCAGCTCTTCCTGGCTCGCACTTTCCGTCTCTTCGTTCTTCGCCAGTCTTAAATACAAAGCTGCATAAACAATAAGCTGCACCAAACCACAAAAGTTATGTCGTTTCTAAATAATATAGCAAACTTCGGCTCTTAGAGACCTGAGACAAGATTTTAAGTGTACCTCGCTTGTGCCTGGACTTGTGTTGATAATGCAATCGATGTGTATCCGTCCATCATCTTCACTTTCGATCTCAGAAGGGTTAATATCTTCTTCTTGCTCTTCCTCTTCCTCAGCTAATTCAGGGTTGGCTATTTCTTTGGCGAGGCTGTCTAATTCATCATACCATTGTTGTGAGACTCCAACCTGTAACTCATGAAAACAAATTTTCTGAGTCACTGCGTGACTAAACCAGAGGAGAAGTTCAAAAATGAAAGTTTCTTGACCTTTTCAGAAGGTTGTTCCGCTGCACTTCCAGCACTCGAGACATCATTGATTGCGCCTCTTGCCTGTCGCCATACGCAGCTTTCTTGTATCGGTTCAACAAGCTCCGTGCCTTTAGGTATCTCTATGTTCAACCGTATGCTAATTTTACCTGTTTAATAACATACAAAAATCATCAGACCCCAATGTCAAAACCGTCTTGATGCTTCAGCTAATGCCGCAACATTTACCTGGCAATAACCGGAGTTCATGAGTATGACTGACGTGTGCTTCCTGAACTCCATTAGCTCTGTTTGATTTTAACCAAAAAGAGGGCCAACATCCGTTAGTGAGTGTGAGAACAAGAATAATGCTCTTAGAAATTGGATAAGATGGTGAAAAAGGAATCACTTACAGATTAAAAACTCTCTCCAGAGGAATGGACAACCAATAGGGCAACCCAAGGATCCCGATGTTTGAAAACTGTATGCTAGAGCGTGCTCCGGATTCTGTATTTAGCTTCAACACTCTCTGACCAGCTTCATATGTAAAATCCGCATAAGTAGAAGGAAAAATGAGTTAAATAGTTGATGCACAGAGATGAAATAATGTAAACGAAGCTGTGTCAATTTTAATTTACCTATATCAGTCATGACAATCTCGTCTCCAAATTCAGTGAAAGAAGACAAAAGGGAAGCATTTGGCTGCTCCTTGCATGAGGAGATAGCCTTAGTTTGCTGTTGCAACCAATTAGAAGGCAAATGTTTCAAGACTGATAGCTTCTCCGTCATCAATTCCCCACAGACCTCCATTATACCCGGAAATCCTTCAAAATTTGGCAAATATATAAGTTAGATACAACAGGTTGTCAAGCCAAGTACCATAAAACGGAAAAAGAAGATGCCGATTCTTATATGTAACCTTCCACGACTTCTTCGATCTCTCCTGAAGCTAAATTAACTATCCACAACTTCGAAAAGCTGAAAAAACATGACAAACCTATGTGGTTACAAGAGATAAAGGATACCAAGAATCTCAGAGAGGGACTGAGCTTTCTCTAATGTGATGAAGCAACCCTTTAAACTAGTCTCTTTACCTTTTGTTAATGACTAAAAGACTATCATTGTCACGCTTCAGTATATGCCATGGAAACATCAGGGAGTGAGCATCAGATTCTTCTGATTTGGCATCAGCATCAACTGTTGCGTCATCATCTTTTCCAAGCCCCATTTTCTCCATCATCCAAGACCATATGCCACCACTTTTTTTAATAACCTTTGGATATACCGTTTCCACGACCCGCGTCTTTATATTTGCTCTTCTAATGGCATGGTTCTTCACTCAAAGAAGGGGGAGACAGAAAGGACATGAAGAGGAAAAACAATCTTAACATGAAAACATTCAATGCCACAGTGATCATAATTTTGTAACTTCTTCTAGGAGTCATTACCTCAGAATCTACAATGTAAAGACAATCCTCCTCTTTGTCATAAAGGGTCGCTGCAGGACGTAACATCTTTGCAGATTCAAATTCTCCATCCTCAAAACCTGGGAAACAACCAATCTGAAATAAAAGTATTGTCTTAAAGTTTAGCTTTGTTAAACAAGTGGCTCCAAATGAGCTTTCCTCTCTAAGAATGCCGTTAAGGGAAATTGAGCAAATCAACCTTACTTTACTCTCTAAGCTTTGAGCAACGAAAGGTTTAAAATATATGCATTCCCAAATGTGATTCAGTTCACTTACACTGTCTAAAATCTTCCCACTATTGTCGAATATAATAATACGATGATGGTTGCTGTCAGAGAGAAACAGACGATCTCCAACTTCGTCTGCAGAGATACAACCTGTCACGGAGATTGCCAGACAGTGAGAGTACTATCTTTAAAATGAAAGACATCAAAATTCCATGAATAAAATATTAGAGAGTAGCATGGATGATAAAATGTAAAATCCAGATAAAACTCGACCAAATAAAAAGAAGATTTAAGTATATATACCTGGAAAGTAAAGTAACAAATCCTGCAAGAAGGAAGAGAAATGTGGTTCCTTGATAGCATCGGCCTGTTTTGACCAAGTGTTCGTGAAAAGTTTGACAGACTTGGACTTCTCAGTATCTTGAGTGAGACTGTCAAGAGCTGCAGCAACATCACAACAAAAAGAAACCAGAACAGGCAATTAAGCACACACAAACAGCTATGGCATANAATATTTTTATTTGGTTTAGGATTGGTACGTTCACTATCAAATAAATAAATAAAAAGGTGAGGAGCTTACCTGCAAAACATAGAAACAAGACCAAGCAACACAAGCGAGGAGTATCAACAAGGTTCCAGCAACCCAATGGTTATGGTCTTGTGAACTGTTGGTATGTCCGTTTTGTTGATCCAAAGTTGGGCTAGACCATGGTAAAGGAATAAGAGGACCTTTGTACAATGTCATTACCAATGCCCCTCCAAGAGCTACCAATGTCCCTATGACCTTTGCTTGGCTTCGTACCTCTACTATTTTCACTTTCTCCATTCTGTCCATATATCAAAATTTATTAAACTCAGTTAGGTTTTAATTACTGGAGGATCTCAAAATGAAATCCACACTAAACGTTTAAATGCTGATTATTCTTGCCATTTAAGGCGTCCAAAGTAGCCAGCCATGATTAAAATTACAATGGAACCATGTCCTCTAAACAATAGAGTGCATCCTTCAACCACTTGACGAAAATAGATTACCTTAAAATCCAAGCGATTACGAATGTAACAGAAGGAAGAACGTTCATGATGGCAGATGTATATGTTGCTGATGTCATGTTCATCCCTAAGTAGCCAAAACCCTGGTCCAAGATTGGCCTACACACAGGCCGGTACAAAGTATGTATTAAGGGTACTTGTCACTTTATAAAATGTATCAAGCCTCTGTTTTTGTAATTTAAGAGTCTGAAAAAGAGAAGCTTAATTCTTACTCTAAGAAACCGAGTAGCACTATTTTCCAGAAAACCGATAGTGTCATCTTTGGCCTCACTTTCCTACAAAATCAAAATCAATCCCAAGACAAAAAAAACGAAGAATAAATATTTACCCTTATTGGTTTATTTTAATCCGTAAACACTAAATATACTATTTTAGTTGCGCAAAAAAAAAAAAAAAAAAAAAAAAAAAAAAAAGATAAAACATAGACTTACCTTTCAAAAAATAGTGCAAAAGGTGCAAGAACGAGAGCAGCCACAGCATTACGATACACAATCAGAACGTAGCGATTCTGGCCTTGATTGAGAGTGGCCATAATGACAATATATGTTCCTGCTGCTCCAAATTGCAAAAATATCATTAATAAATATGGCCTAAAGTTTCGAATCATCGCACCAACACCCTCCATGCCTATTGGATTTTTGTTCTTTTTCTTTTTGGTTAAGGTTATTGAAAGTTAAATTTCCTGCAATTTTAGAAGAGGTAGAGCTGATAGGAGGAGTATGATGAACAACTCATCTTATATATTACATCAAAAAAGGTGATATAGTGTTTTAGATAAACATGGAACTTGTTTTTCCTCCGATCGAGAGTCATGTAGATTAACAAAAGAAACAAAGTAAAGTGCACGTATAAATAAATATGAATATGAATATCTTTTAGGCCACACGACCAATAGAATACGTTATTCAATAAAAATATAATTGCTTTTTTAGATGGGTATGGGTTTATTCAGGTAATTGTAAAGCAAACAATACCATATAGTCTCTGATGATTCTTTTGCTAACACCGTTATCTTCTTGCTCACGTCATAGCTTTTTTTTTTTTTAATTATTTGTCTGTGCTTTGCCCAACTTGATAAACACATACACCGAAAAATTACATGTTTAGTGTAAGCTACGTGTACGTTTTGCTTAAGTGTCCCGAACAATTGACGTGAGTCCGAATGTTCGAGCAAAGCTTCATCATCATGAAGCACGTGGGAACTGGGAACGTAACGTCTTCGTATTTTAAGCAAACGGTGGTAATTAGTTGATCATGTTTGTCGTTTTCTTTATCAGAAAATCACGAGAATATGTGTGTGAGATTAGGGATGTTTATACTTTAGTTCGTTCCATTTAGTCTGCTGGATTTGCGGGCAAGTTTATAAGTATGCTATGTTCTAACTCTCCTTCTATTACTTATCAAAGCAATAGATTCGTTCTTAACTATGTTATAAATTTGTCGATTAAGATCAGCATGATTGGTTGAGCATTATGCTTTTGGTCATCTAATCAACTTTTATTAGTAAAGCATGTAGAAGAGAATTTGGAAGCTGGAAAAATGTAAAATGCAAATGCTCTAGAAAGTTCATTGCCTCTATGTTTTCAGATGGAGCATTTCCAAAACATTAATTAAGCTCTACAGAGGTATAAAACAAAATCATATTTATTTAAATAAATAGCATCAAACTTATATTTATATTAAATTTCCTATTTATATTTCAAATTTTTATGGAACTTTACAACTATTCAATCTCTGCCAATCACTTCAAAATATCTATTAATCAAAACATACAACTATTCATTCGCATATTGCTTATGCTGCAAACTGCTAATGATTTATTATTATGAGTCATATCAATCAAGCTCTAAATACATTAATATAATCTTAAAAGCAGAACGCATAGATGTCATATATGATCAGTGAGATTGTGTAGGGGTGTTTCTTACGTATTTTTAGGTTCTACTTCTTTTTTCTAGTTAAACGTAACTTTGTAGCCTATCTAATTCCCGGTCTGGGTGGTTTCTTAACATGAATGAAAGTTTGTAAAGCATCATCAATCACATATATAAAGAAATAATAAAATAAATATGTGATTTGGTGGATACTCAATATGGTCGGTAAGTAATATCTGATTGAATATCGATAATTGTGGAATCATGGTGAACCATGAATATGATAATTAGAAATGATTCGAATACTGCTAATAACAATAAAAAAATTACCTAAAGCTAAAATGTAAAGACTTATGCTGATAATGTGTTGTGAGAGAAGAAAGAAAAGAAATGAGTAGTCTTATTTTATGAGTGGTGAGTTTTTTATATGGGAATACAAAGTAGGGTTTCAGAAGAAGAACAAACAGAAGAAATTAACCTTATAATGGACATCCACTTAATAGCCTATAACAAAAAGGGGTAGTTTGTCGATAAATTCTTATATGTTAGTGAAAATGGAAAGTGAATGATGACGACGCAGTATTCAATTATGAGCTAAGGAGTGGGTGCCTACACTTGCATAAAATTTAATCTTTGAAAGCTCAGCACAAATATTGAAAGAGTGGAGCTCCATGTGTTTGTTCCCATCTCTTCAGTCTTCTTCTCTTTCGTAAACTACTTCATACTCACCAGTCACCACCATAAACCAATTTTCAGATATATCTTTTTAAACTATTGCAACTTTGAATTAAGTTTTTGAGTTTTAAAAATCTTCCCTTGGTGTTGTTGATAATTATGAGATGGGCTTCGCTGAAAACACTTTATCAGTACTACGACTTTCTTTTGTGAAAAGCAACACTCACAATTACATTAATCAATAATTTCTGAAAGATATATATTATGTATGTTTTCTGTAATAGGATAGAATACGGATCAAAATCAAGACTAATCTACAAAACTTGTTAAAAGAGTACTCTTGGCATTTGAAACGTTTATAAATGGCCAACAGTTATTCAAAACAGTGAAATTACTCAAAATATGATTTCTCAATCCCATGACTTGGTAACGCCGACAAAAACATATATAGACAATATAAATTTATAATATATATTTTTCTTAACATTAATATATCTATTACCACGTAAGATGTTAGAAATTAAATTTTTATTATTTCACACATATGTAGACTTGTATACTTGATATAGACTGGCGAAACTTCAAGACTTATATACACCATGAAATGGAAGAAAAGAAAGTAATACTAGTCGCATATATCAAATAGATAGATCTAAAAATTTGAAGTTATTGAGAGTATTCATATGTGGAGAGAGTGTCACACGCAAGACATAAAGAAATGGGCACTTCAAAGTGTCGTTTGTGGTTGCTGCATATTAAGCATGCATTATATGGTCTTTCCATGTAGACCTTATCTATATACGTCATTTAATATTACGTTCGATTTTCTTGCAATCAATATATCATCATCGATAAAGTCCCGAAAAAGAATGATATACTGTATACAGTATTATCAATTACACAAATTGAATTATCTACAAATATTGAATTCAAACTAAATTACTTAAGATCATCACATACAATCCCAAAAGAAGAAAAAAATATTTATGGCGTAGCTAGGGAGAACTTTTTAGAAAGACGTTTTTACAACTTTTTAGAGCAATTTGAACAATCATATTGGGATTTTTGATACGTTAGAGCTCAGAATGACTTAAATATAAGCACTTAAAAAAAATATGGGCCAAACGAATAATGACAAGCACACGCACACTCCACTTTGATGCTTGGGGAGAAGCGAGTCCACAAATTAGAACTTGATATACCAAAACCAAAGTAGAGAGAAACAGTAAAAGCGTAATTTAGAATTCCCACCAAAATAAATTAAATGATTAGTGGTTAATGATTAGGAAACAATATCAAATAAAGGGTGACTAAAGAATTCTAAATCAGTAACAAAAGATAGGGAACTTTCTCCTCGTCGATAGGAGGAGATAAAGATGATTTTGGGTTCTTGGTCAAAGGTAAAAATAAAAATAAAATCACATAAAATAATTATTTTACTTATTGCGAAGAACATCATTTGCTTTCTCTTCTCACCAAGCCATTGCTTACTTCACAGTGGAGTATAGTGTAAAAATAGGCAAGAAGTAGTCTTCAATGTTCAAAACTGATTCGTGTTAGACATCTACATCGGTCATAATTTGGACAAGGGTACCACCGTACCAATAATTTTACATTTGAAAATAAGATTATCATCTACCAAATTTTCTTCTTGCACATATGAAGCTAATCTATCAATGCCCATTTGACCAAAAATGGAAACGTATGGCATAATAATTAGAGGCCCATGCAATCAAATTTTTGCGGAAAGGCAAATAATTTCTGCCAAGTACACGAGGATATGCACAAATTTGCTTTTATCACCCACCCTATAAAGATTATAATCCATACTTTAAAGAAAGAATGATAACAGAAAAAAAAAAATGAAATAATTCAGGATAGGACACTATCATCATCAAACTTTCCGTTCAACTAAGCAAAAAGATGTTTTGTTTCAAGCGAGTATTAGATTTTGCACTAACTACGTGATGAGTGTTTTGATCAAGACTGATTCTTTCCACTAAACCATAATCCTTTGGCTCTCTCAACTCAATAATACAGCCAAAAGATGCAACTACTGATTGATAAAGAAATTTTTTTATGATATGTAAAAGACTTATCAGGTAGTATACATTTACAAGGATGGTGACAAGTGAAGAAAAAAACATGTCGCATGGACCATATTAAGGATTTAAGGTGAGTCTAGTTTGTTTACTTTTCGGGTTTACGCAGACCTTTCTTGATTTCTACAAGATCCAAGTTAACAAAGTTTTTTTTTTTTTTTTTGGTTAAATTACATGTACTAAAAAGAATTATGGTGAAATAAGTGGAGATACGGGGTAGGCCTTGATCGGTAAAGGAGTTAGAAGAGCATTAGGTTTAAAGAGCATAAGCAGGGTGAGTATTTAGAAGAGCATTAAGCTCTTGAAGCTGTATGTTTTTAACTTATATGATTGGTAGAGCTCTGAGTCTTTTTATTATATTTTATTGTGTGAAAATATTTAATATGTATATTGATATTTATTTTAATGCATCATATATATTTTCATTAATAACATAAGATTGTTTTTTATTTTTTTTAAATATTTAGTAATTATTTCATATTTAAATTATATTTATTTATTTTTTTTGTCATTAAATATTTATTTTATGAATAATACATTAATGTTAAACATAATTTACGAAATTTATAAAATTGTAAATTTAATATAAATATAGTTTCATTTTTTACCAAAATAAATAAACTAAATACTAATTTTTTTTTCCAAATGTATCTAAATATTAATGGATGTATTAAGACTCAAAATACATTCAGATACATCATTAAATAGTCCAGATTTATTTTGTCAAAAAAACACTTATTATGAAACGGAGGGAGTATAATTTATTATAATTTATTTAAGATTTTTTAAATATTTTTGAGCTATGCTTTGGAAATGCTCCATTTGGAGAGAAGGAGAAGTTTGAGAGCATTTCTAAATGCTCTCCTAAATGCTTTTTAAAA